AACTATACGGATAAGAAGGAAGACTATGAAATTTATTGATGACTATTTGCTTTAATCGGCTATAAAACCTGAAAGATAATTTTGAGAGTTGTCAATGTTTAATGAAAAAAAATGGAAGAACTCGCGCGAACTGAACGTGAACTGTGAGATCAATCAACTCGATTGAGTTCGCGAGACGAGTACAACGTGTGGGAGGAACGGTGTGATGAATGCCTCTAGTCGTTAAAAGGATATAGTCGAGCGAAACGACTGAGATTATCGATCGGTGTTCAACAATCGTTGATCGCCCGAATTGCGCGACTCGAAGGACTAAAACATTCATTGCGTACGCGTTTTGTACATACTGGCGCCGGACATTTAAACGCATTTACGCACGACTCTTGTGGCGTGAAATAGACACTGTTTTCAATAGCCACGTATTAACTGGTGTGGTTATAAATGTAAATTTTATCGAACCTATTCGATTTTTCCAGAGCGCGAAGGACATAATACTTGAACATGTGCAATAGGCTAGGGAGAGACACTCAAGTGTGAAAATGAACACCGCATTTAACGGTGAGTTTGTCACGGGTGATAAACGCACGAACAAAAGTATTACTACAAAAAACTTTANTGAGTTTGTCACGGGTGATAAACGCGCGAACAAAAGTATTATCACAAAAAACTTTGAACTCTACCGTGCATCCGATCTCGAAGAGTGGTATGAGCGACGTGATATCGAGCACACTTTAACATCTTTAGAAGAATTTCAAGAACGTGAAAGCGGATGGACATGTCGCGAATACTCAACCTAACAATCAATGTGAACATGTACAATCCGATGCGTGCGGGGTGCCACATTGAGTTACCGCGCGAGATACAGAACAAGAAAGCGGTAATCAACGTTAAATTTAAAGACAATGCGTGTTTCGCGTGGGCAGTGGTTGCGGCTCTGTGTCCAGTCAATAGAAACGCAAATCGTGCACCCACACTACCCCTTGTTCCCACACTATACAACAGTGCTCAATTTACAGAACATTGAGTTTCCAATGTCTGTAAATCAAATAACAAACTTCGAGCAACAAAACAATATATCCATCAACTTGTACAGTGCCGAAAAGAAGAAAACAGAAAAAGGAAAACGGCACATGTGATCCTTCCGATACGTCTCACTGACCGCAAGATGGACAGACACGTCAACATGTTGTACTTGCCAGATCCGCGAGATGACAACGTTCGACACTTTGTATGGACAAAAAACTTGTCCCGACTTGTGAGCTCGCAACTAAGCAAACATGATCATAAGAAGTATATCTGCAGCCGGTACGTATAAATTAGTAAAAAAATATTATAAATATCTTTTGAAATGAATATTAATTAAAAGTTTTTTTTATAGATGCTTGCACTATTTTAGTTCGAGCGAAAAGTTGCAGGTCCATACTATATATTGTGGAGAAATGAACGACTGCGCCATCCTGATGCCTAGCGAGGACGACAAATGGCTCAGTTTTTGCAACCACAACAGGAAAGAGCGTCTACCGTTTGTCGTGTACGTCAATCTGGAGTGCATCTTACAGAAAACTACAAGCGAGGAGGGAGAGGATCACAAATCGCACGCGTATCATCATCAGCATAGGTATTCAGCATAGCGTATTATTTACATTGCTCGTATGATGAGTCATTATCGTATTTTCGAAGCCTTCGTGGTAGTGATTGCGTCTCGTGGTTCGTCGAGCAACTCGAAGAGTTAGCGCACCGCGCTAAAATTAGTCTTATCAACAAATGTTCCCATGGAAACTTTATCAAACTAACAGTTGGAAACATTTAATAGCGCAACGCACTGTCACGTGTGCGAGAAAGAGGTCGAGAAAGAAGATAGACGCGTACGCGATCATTGTCATCTCACCGGACGGTACAGAGGTCTCGCGCATTCAAAGTACAATTTAAATTATAAACATTTATATTACATTCCAATAGTTTTCCATAATTTATCCGGCTACCATTCACATTTTATTATCATGGAAATAGCAAATGCATTTGAAGGCTCGATCAATGTGCTGCCGATAACAAAAGAAAAATATATATCATTTACGAAGTATGTCCGAGGTACAGCAAAAAAATCTGATTCACGAAATTGCATANTACAGTTACGATTCATCGATTCATACAAATTTCTAAATACCAGTCTCGAAAAATTAGCATCTTTTCTCGACAAAGAAAAATTAAAAATTTTACAGTCCAAATTTTCAAATATATCCGATTTCGATTTATTGACGCGAAAGGGTGTTTTTCCATATGAATACCTTGATTGCGTGGACAATCTGCAAGACCCGTGTTTACCACCGCGAGAATCGTTTTATAGTTCGTTGACGGGTGATACGGTATGCGAGAGCGATTACGCGCACGCTGTGAACGTCTGGCAACGATTCTCTATTG